GCTTGCTCAGGAATTCTGGGAGTTGAAGTCCATAATTCATAAAAGGGCCATAGTTGCCCACCCCTGAGCTAGAGAGTAGTCATTTATTTGTGGAAGGAGATGGCAACAATTTTATGTGATTACAAATAGCAATAGCACTTAGGCTGCTTTATAGTGCTTTACAGCCCTCTTTTTACAGAGTCAGCCTATTGCCCCCAACAATTTTGAGTCCTCATTTTACCCACCTCGAAAGGATGGAAAGCTGAGTCAACCTAGAACCCAGTGAGAGTGGAACTGCCAAATTGCAAGTAGCCAGCAGTCAGCAGAAGTAGCCTGCAGTACTACATTTTAACCACTACGTCACCACAGCTCTTAGAAAACTCCCATCACTTATGCTGGTATATAATTCTAATAAAGATTTGATTGATTGACTCCCATCGCTGGATGAAGTGCCTCATTACAACACCGAATGTGCTATGCCCAAATATGAGCTGATAACCATGTGGTTGATTTAAAAGTTGCATATGCTGACTCATTTAAACAGCTGCCTGCAATTTGGCAGTTCGGATCTCTCCAGGCTCAAGGTTTACTCAGCCTTCCATCCTTCCGAGTACTGCACTCTAACCACTGCACCACTGTGGCTCTTATGTGAGGAATGAACCCTTTAAGTCTACCAGCTCTGTTTTCAAACACCTGCCTGATTCACCTCAAAGCAACATTGGCTCTGGTAAAAGATAGGAACCTGGCTGGAGATCTCGCTGCTTAGGCTCCGAAAATGAAGCCATTATTCCCAACGACATGCCGAGGTTTTTGATTGTCCTCTGCAATTAACAAGCCTCGTTTTCTCTCTGAATGATCATATTGTTTGTTTCAGGGGTTCTATGCAGTCTATCGGCACATCTTCGAAATGATTGCAAAGGAAGAAGAGGAATCCATAGTAGATGAAGATTTTGAAGGATTTCCAAACTTTGGAGACTCTCAGAGTGACTATGATACGGTAACAACTCTGAAATTCATAGCTGGGCAGTTGCCTTGTTAGGGGCGGCTCACATGGCACCAAATAATCCATAAACTTTTGAGGTCACCAGAACTTTTCCTTAATTAAAGGAAAAGGAAGGATGTTGTTAGAGTGGAGAGGAACCAGCATTTCAGCCTGAGTCCGAAGTTGCAAATTCCTTCCACTTGTATCTTTTCTTGTGCAGTGCTGCACTTTCAGATTCTACCAGCTGCTTTCAGACTCAGACAGCAGTGAGGCGGGGGAGATTCCGGAACCGGTTCCCAGCCTGTGCATGCGCAAAGCTGCCAAAAGGAAGGCGCAATTAAGAACTCAGGGTTGATGTGGGAGTAAGGCCCCTCCCATCAGGATTAAAAGAAGAAGCAGAAGGGGAGGGGCCTTTTGCAGGAAACAACTCGTTCATTTGTTCCAGCCTCGTGAAGTTTTATCTGTATAACCCAGCCCTTCCCTGTTAGCACTGAGTGTGGAATTTTACCGGGCACCTAGGATTGATAAAGGTCTGAGCTAATTAGTATACCTTCACAAGACTGTTTGCCAAGCCGTTGGCCGACTGTGAATGAAATAAATTCACATTAACGTAATAAAAGAAGTTTTTGTCGGGACTCAGAATTGACTTAGTGCTTTTTGGGGAGGCCTAGGACAAAGCACTTAGTGAAAATGCAAAAAAATAATAATAATCCATCACCCCACCATCATCCTGCTTATGCAGCATGGCACTTCAGTTTGGCTATTGCCTCTACTTTTCAAAAAATGTTAAGTCAATACAGGAAAAAAAAATATCCATAATGTTGGCCCCACCCCATAAATAGTTTTATCTGCTGCCGTGTGCTGTACGTTTAAATATGCAGACTCGGTTTTAATAAATGACCTTAACAAAATCTCACTGCCTTGTGATGGGGCCTCCTCTGATTATTGGTCAATGTATATTTCTCTTTTTTCGCCCTCTCTTCCCAATTAGGTCGTCCATTGTTTTTATGCGTACTGGCAGAGTTTCTGCACCCAGAAGAATTTTGCATGGAAGGAAGAATACGACACTCGGCAGGCGTCCAACCGCTGGGAGAAACGGGCCATGGAAAAGGAGAACAAGAAAACCCGAGACAAAGCAAGGAAGGAGAGGAACGAACTGGTCCGTGAACTGGTGGCCTTTGTGCGGAAAAGAGATAAACGGGTGCAGGCGCACCGGAAGCTCTTGGAAGAGCAGAACGCCGAGAAGGCTAAGAAGTCAGAAGAGCTCCGGAGGCAGCAGAAACTAAAGCAGGCCAAGTATGAGGATTTAGACCAGTGATTCTCAGCCTTGGTAACATGTTTTTTTTTTTTTAAATCAGGGCACCCTGGTCTACCCAAATATGGGACGGAGCATACTGCTTCTACTTTCACCTTTCAGCCCCAATCTAGGAGCCTTCGCAGACAGTTGCTTTCAAGACAAACTATTTTTATGGTGAATTTATATTTACTGACAAAGAAATAAAGGGGGAGACTAGTATAGATCTATTTCAAGCTATTTAGCTCTCATCAGCTAGCCACACCCGTTGGTATGGGTTCGAATCCCAGAAGATATGGCTAGCTGATGAGAGCTAAATAGCGTGAAATAGATCTATAGTAACCTCCCTTTATTTCTTTGCCGGTAAAATATAAATTCAACTCGGCCTTGGTAGTTTTCCAGAATTTCCAAAATTCCCCAGGCAGCATGCTGCATGGGCACCATCTTTATATGGTGCAGACCCCAAAAGGCAACACAGTCATTAAAAACAGAAACTGACATAACCTTTTTTTCCAAGCCAGGTGCTTTCCAGAATTTGTAGGTAGTGACCATACTAGCTGGGCAATTCTGGTCTAACTGATGCTTCTCAAAGGCCACATGGTGAAATCCAATCTAGTCCAATTCCTTATTGTGTATACCTAATAGACAGAATCTTGCCAGATTAAAGCTACAGCCTTCTAACCTAATAGATATATTCTGAGAGATTCTAGGGTATGTCTCTACCCTGAAGCTCTTCTTCCTTCCCCATCCAATTTGGATCTGCAATTTGGTTGCTTTGGGCTTCTCTGGAATGTGCTACCCCCTCCTTGGGAAACCACAGAGTTTCCACCAAGATTACCCCCTACTCCTTCTGCAAGTGCACGTTACATCACAGCTTCTATGCATGAAGGTTCATAACTGTTCTTCCTGCACTGGTGTAGAAGGAGAAGTTGATGTTCTAAGTTTCCACCTGCCTTCACGGTTGTTACAGTACAGCCTCTAAAACTCATCCGAAGAAGTTAAGCTTATAAACGTGGGGACTGAGTTCTTGTAAAGGCTGGGCAACCAGAGAGAAACATGATAAGAACTCTTGGTGCTCTCTGAGCTTGGTTGTTTTCTTGCAGACATTTCATTACCCAAACTAGGTAACGTCATCAGCACACTGATTCTTCTTCCTTATTGATAAGAACGCTGTATATTTAGACAGAACCTTGCAATAGTCAAGAACGAAGAGTGAAATATTGATTACTAACTGGATACCCATGTTTCACTACGAAAGTATGTGATCGGGCTTAGTTTTGGGGGAGGAAAATGGGGGGGGGGATTCTGCCTCTGCCTACCAGCATCCATTGGTATTCATCTGGCTGGCGTCCTGTCAGTGTGTGAGAGAGTTGAGGGCTATTTGGAAAGTGAAAGAGTATTTGCTGTGTGAGCAAGAAGGAGACAGCAAGGAGCCTGGGCGTGGCTTAGCTCAACTGTTCTGTACTAAAGCAGCTTACTGCTGTGAAAGTAAAACTGAAACTCCTCCTCTGCTTGTGTTTTGCATTTGGAACAGTTTTTTTCTGGTGGGGAGGGGGGAGTAGAACTCCTTAGCATCAGTGTGTGTTAATAATAATATAGAAAATATTAATGCTCTGATGGTCATTTCGAAAAATCCTTTCTTAGTGAGCCCCTAGAAGTCAAGAAGAACATATGTGCCACATTTCAAGTTTGTAGCCTTTACGGTTCTGGAGATTTCGTGATGCCGCGTGAGTGGTATTTCGCATTTATATATATAGATAATACTTACGTTCTGACAAAAGGCTTATCTAGCTTTGATTGATAGCATCCAGAGTTTGCACAAGGGAACTGGGTCTCTGTTTCATAACACTTGGTCAGCATGAAGCTGTCTGCTCAAAAGGAGCTTTCTTGCTTCAACTTGTGTAGGACAATAAATATGTCCACAGTGTAAGCTCATCCTTCAGTCTGGCAGTTGCCAATGCTTTTGAAAATCCTATGATTTCTAGCCTGCGTAGACATTAAATCATGAAGTGCTTTATTTGTTTGGAATCGATGTTGTAAGCTTCACCAGGTGGCAGCATCTGACCAACCTTGTCTAGACACCAGGTACGAAAGGAGATTATTTGAAAAGGTCAGGGCTGTAGATTAGCCAAAAAAGCTTGAAAAAAGATACCACTTTTGTTTTTGTTGGTGAGGAGATTAGATGTCCATCACCGCTAGGTCACCAGTAGTTGAGCTTCGATCTTGACTTTAGCACATGGACCAATCTCCTTTCTTTCATTAACCATGTTTATTGTTTAGGGTATTACACAAAAACCAGCCTGGGAAAATCCTCACCTTTTGCCTCCCTCTTCCCTTGAAAGGCTGGCAGAGCAATACAAGGAGCAGAGCTGGATTACCATGTCTGACCTAGAGCGAGAACTGCAGCAGATGGAAGCTCAGTATGAAAAGGAGTTTGGAGATGGGTCTGGCGAGGAAGAAGAGTTAGAAAAAGAAGAGAGGAAAGAGAACCAAGAAGAGGGTGAGGACCAGCTGGCGCACAGTTAGTTGCTCCTTAAGAACAAGTGTGAATTGTTTTTCTGGGAATAGCTTGCTAGGTAGCCTAATTTCCTCTCTTGATTTCCAGAATAAGGACTTCATAACTTGTAAACATTAGTGCAACTTGTGGAGTTTTCATTCTCACTGCTGCAATTTGGTTGTTCTGACCAAGGCTTCCTAAGACAGTAACAATTACACGCTGTTCCCAAAAACCTTTTGTTTTATTCCAATGGCTGTGGATTATATGCATGCACAGCCCGTAATGAGTCCCAAACAGTTTATGAATAGTCCAGCAGAAGTCTGCCACAGTCTTTCGGGATAAGACTGATAAGCACCCACCTTTATATCCTTTGAAATGCTGCCAACGACTAAATTGCCAATTAGCTGTACAAGGCCAAACAGAGCACAAAGTTCACATGGAATTTCAGAGTTTAAACCAACCCGAATGAACAAAGTTGCTTCCTGCAAATGCTCATGTCCCTTTGCTTTATGTCTTATGAGAGGGGCCAATCATCTCCAAGCCTTACTCCCAAGTTGCCCTTTTTGTCTTAACTGTTTTTGCCTTCTGGCAGCTCTGTGCAAGCGTGCACTGGGAACTGGCTCCCCCTGTTCCTCTGCCTCGCTGATGTAAGATTTTGGAGGCTTCGGAGTCAGCACATAACTCCCAGATGGCCCTGGCCCCCATCTTTGTGTCGGACACAGATCCCTCGTCCAAGCCCTCCCCAGACTCCAAAACTGGCCCATGTTCCTCCCCACTGTCCAACTATGCTGCCAGCTCCGCAGGCCGCCGGCGGACCACAACATTGGTAGCTATTCCCCCCTTTTACCAAGAGGTTGATTTTTCCCAATTCTGTGATCCCTGGACCAGATCAGTCCTGAGTGCTACAGTTCTTTCCATGTGATTCCCGGAGACTGTACTCTCCCAGTTGTTGAAGCTCCCTTCAACTTGGCTGATTCCTTCCTCTCCTGCACAGGTGGACTGCTTTGGTTACTTAAATTCATAGCTGGATATTGACAATAGAACTGGGTTTCTTCAAGGGCTGGATCAGCATTGTGGTTCTCTGTGGGCCGGTAAGGGGAGGGGAGATGCCTCCTGCAGACCCTGCCGGTCAAAATGGGCCTCAGGGGGGGGCTACATGCGCTCCCATCCCCCACCCCTGTGGCCTATTTTTGGCCTCCACAGCCTCCTGCAGCACTCTGCCAGCTGAAAATGGGCCACACGGGGATCTCACGGGGCCTCAGTGGGCCTGTTTTTGGCCGGCAGAGTGCTGCAGAAGGCTGTGGAGGCTGAAAACAGGCCATGGGAGGGCCGCACGCAGGCCCCCCCCCCCAAGGCCCATTTTGGCCAGCCGAGGCACTGCGGGCCGGTCCTTTGATATTTCCAGGCCTGCCCCACGGGCCAAATTTAAGTGCCCTGCGGGCTGGATCCTTGACACCCCTGCAATAGAAGAGAAGACGGTCAGATCATCAAGCATCTCACACAGAAATATATGTATGTATTTCAGACAAATTAAGTGAAGAACACGATGCCGCCAGCCTTTTTGATGAGCTCTACTGTCCCGCTTGTGACAAGTCCTTTAAGACGGAGAAAGCGTAAGTTTGTCTTTATATGCAAACTAAAATGGATCAGCACAGGCTTCATCTGCCATCTTGCCCTGATTTATTCAAACTCCTCCTTGGTTCCTTCCTTTAACAAAAGGCAGCCCTTCTTTCTGGACTCAAATCTTGTTCCTCGCGGTAACGTCCCTCTTGATCTCTCTCTCTCTCTCTTCAGGATGAAGAACCATGAGAAGTCCAAGAAGCACAGGGAGATAGTGGCTTTGCTCCGACAGCAATTAGAAGAAGAGGAAGAAGCATTTTCTGTCTCTACGGTTGATGAGAACGGGTGGAACAGCGAAGAGGAGGCAGGAGAACCAGTGCCCAAACAAAAGTACTTTATGGAAAATATGTAGAAATTTAGATGACCAAAGAGCATAAATTATTTCTGGTTTCCAAAAGCTTCATGAGGGAGATGGCCAGGTGCCCTATTACAGGATGTGCCCTTCCATGCTGCTTTTCCCCAGCCCTGGAGAGACAGCTAACAATCTGTTTGAAATTGAGCTGTTTTGTATTTATTCCTCTCTCCGTTCTCTTTTCTTTAACCTTCGTGGTTTCTCTGAGTTCGTTGATCTTTCCTTTCTCTGCCTGGATACATGGATCCCCCTTCCTCTATAACAGGGGTGTCAAACTCGATTTCATTGAGGGCCGGATCAGGGTTGTGTTTGACCTCAGAGGGCTGGGAGGAGGACTGGCTAAGGGGGCATGGCTGGCATGGACGTGACACAGGACTTGTGTCGAGGGGTACCTGTGGTGGTCAAGTGCTAAGGCAGGACTTCCCTGAGACCCTCCCTCACTCCCTCATCTATCTTCCTTCCTTCCTTCCTTCCTTCCTTCCTTCCTTCCTTCCTTCCTTCCTTCCTTCTTTCCTTCCTTCCTTCCTTCTTTCCTTTCTCTTCTTTTTCCTTCCCTCTTTATTCTAATTTCTTCTTCCTTCCCTTCTTTCCTTACTTTTCCTTCCTTGCTCTCTTCCCATCTTCCCTTCTTTTTCTTTGTCTTTCCTCTTTCCCTTTCTCCTTTCCTGCCCCCTCTTGCATGCTCAAATGCAAAAGGGGAAGCATTTCTCTTTTTGTCTTGTTTTTAGTGTTGATAGCCTTCTGCCAGCCAAATTGGGGCACCGAGGGCGGGGGGGAGGCATGTGGCTCCCTGTGCCCCATTTTTGGCCTGATCGGCCTCCTGCAGCACTCTGGCAGCCAAAACAGGGCATTGAGGCTAGCAGAGGCACCATGGGCTGGTCCGTTGCTATTTCCAGGCCGCCCCGTGGGCCAGATCTAAGCACCCCATGGGGCAAATCTATCCCGTGGGCCTTGAGTTTGACACCCCTGTTCTATAAGAATCCATCATGAGAAAATCGGGCTACCTACAGCAGGAATGCTTAGCAATAATCTGTTAACTACTACTTGATGGGCATGGCTAAAACAACCAGTTGGTCAGGACCAACTCCATATTTTCCCTGGGTATATATAGAACAGAGGGATGCAGTGGCTCAGTGGCTAAGACGCTGAGCTTGCCAATCAGAAAGGTCGACAGTTCGGTGGTTCAAATCCCTAGCGCTGCGTAACAGAGTGAGCTCCCGTTACTTGTCCCAGCTTCCACTCAAAGTTATGACTGACCTGCAAAAGGGACCTACAACCCAGGTTCAAGCTTCCGATGGTTGGACCCCCTCTGCAGAGTGACGTGACCTAACACTGGGCGCTCAGCAACATGGCTGAATTTATGGCTCTTTGCAGTGTCCTGCAGTCACATGACCATGTTTTACTCTAGTTTTGCTGAAAACTGGCACTTCCATTAGTTCACTTCATGACCACGGGTCGCCACTTTATGACCACTACCAAAAAAGGTAGTAAAATCAATCAAACTGTTTTACAACCGTTACGACATATGGTCATAACAGGCAACTTCCATTCGTCATGTGTCAAGGACTTCCTTGACACGGTGAAGGGATGCGGTGGCTCATTGGCTAAGAAGCTGAGCTTGTCGATCAGAAAGGTCGGCAATTCAGCGGTTCGAATCCCTAGCGCCGCGTAACGGAGTGAGCTCCCGTTACTTGTCCCAGCTTCTGCCAACCTAGCAGTTCGAAAGCACGTAAAAAATGCAAGTAGAAAAATAGGGACCACTTTGGTGGGAAGGTAGCAACGTTCTGTGCGCTTTCGGTGTTTAGTCATGCCGGCCACATGACCTCGGAGACGTCTCTATGGCTTTGTAACGCAGATGAGCACTGCCCTCTAGAGCCAGAAACGACTAGAACGTATGTGGGAGGGGAACCTTTACTTTTACCTTTATATATAGAAAAGATTTCAAGTTGTACCCAACATTTGTCTAAGGCCGTGTTTCTGAACCTTGGCAGCTTTAAGATGAGTGGACTTCAACTTTCAGAATTCCATAGCCAGTTTTGCTTTGCTGGCTGTGGAATTCTGGGAGTTGAAGTCCACCCATCTTAAAGCTGCCAAAAATTAGGAAACCCTGCTTTAGAGTTTCAGAAGGGATTTAACAAGCAAAAGAGGTTGAACTAGGTTGTTTTGACTTTGCGGGTTTTTTTTCCTGTCCTTAACAGGCTGTCAAAGAAACAGCGAAGGAAGCAGCGAACAGCAGGTGTAAGTTTTTTGTGTTTTGTTTTTAAAGCAGATTTCCATATGCATGCTTTCATGATCTGATCTGCAAAACCCAATGATGGCATTATTTTGGAATTATTTCTGCTTCCGTTGGAATGTGGCATTGATTGCTGGCGATGCCCTGTCTGAATAAATTTGCTGAAATATTGTGGCATTTTATGATGAGAGCTAGCTAAGTTTTCAAGGCTGGTTGCAACTCTGCCTCCCCCCCCCCCCCCCCCCCCCCCCCGTAGGTTCATATTTTATTTTATTTTTTGGAAATAGAGATGGCAGCCTTCTCTTTGTAGAGCATCTTAACTCTGCTTCACATCTTTTTAAAAGGCAGAATATTTGTAGCTTGGGATTGAATTTTGGAGTTCTTGGAACTCTCTGAGCTTGGTGGTTTTTGGTTTTTTTGCAGACGTTTCATTACCAAACTAGGTAACATCATCAGCGCTCCGATATTACCTAGTTTGGTAATGAAACGTTTGGGAAAAAAAAAACAGACAAGCTCAGCAGCAAGGACCCCATAACAAGACCATTGTCTGCGAAGTGTAATATGGCTTACAGGAGAAGGTGGCTGGATTCCCCAGCTTCAGAGCTGAAAAGGTTTTTAGGTGGGGCAGACAGGGGTGGGCTGCTGGGGGATCGCAGAGGTTCAGGAGAGCCCCTAGCTAAGATTCTGTGCAGTTTGAAGAACCCCCAAATCCCACTCCTGGCTGACCCCGCTCACCCCCTTCCCTCCCAGGAGTCCCCAGGTGGCCCGTTTTGGATGCAGGTAAGTGCAGGGTGTGCGTGGAGGCTCGGGGAGGGGGGAAAATGGGCCTCCCGGAAATTTGAGAAGGCCAGAAATAGGCCTGTTTCCACTTCCAGAGAGCCTCCGTAGCCCTTGGAGGCTGTTTTTGCCTCCCCGGAGGCTCAAGGAAAGCCTCTGGAGCCCATGGAGGGCAAAAATGGCCGCCTCCCCCTCTGCTGTGGTGCAGGAGGCCAACTAGGCCACGCCCACCGTGATCACGCCCAACAGCAACCGGGCAGAGAACCCGTTGCTAAAAAAATTTAAGCCCACCCCTGAGGGCAGATGCTTCCTCAGAAAGTCTGCGCATGTAAAACTTTGATCCCTAGCCTACTTCATGATTTCTGTGCTGGAGCTAAGGGCTTCCTTGAATGGGAACAGATTTAACGATGCCCACGTTGGAAATACATAAAGATGTTCCCCCAAAGTGGTTGGTTTTTTTTTTCCCCCCAGTTCCAGTCTAATTTGTAGTACCTGGAGGGCACCAGGTTGGGGAAGATTGGTTTGCAAAGATTGGTTTGCAATTGTTCAGACGTGATGTTCTAGCGTGATTTTCTTCATCTTGCAAACAGACTTTGCAGATCTCGTTGCGATCATGATGGGTGTACAAGTATAGTCCTCGGCTTACAACATTTCATTGAGCGACCGTTCAAAGTTACAACGCCACTGAAAAATGTGGCTTACGGCCGTTTTTCACAGTTACAACCTTGGCAGCCTCCCCAGGATCACCTTGGCGATCAAAATTCAGATGCTTGGCCACGGGTTCATATTTATGATCGTTGCAGGGTCCCGGGGTCGTCCCCTTTTTGTGACCTTCTGACAAGCAAAGCCCATGGGGAAGCCAGATTCACTTAACAACCGGGTTACTAAATGATCAACTGCAGTGTTTCACTTAACAACTGTGGCAAGAAAGGTCGTAGAATGGGGCAAAACTCACTGAACAAAAGTATCTCACTTGACAACAGAAACTTTGGGCTTAACTGTCATCCTAAGTTGAGGACTACCTGTTTCTGGGCCAGGGGTCCTCAAACTTGGTAACTTTAAGATTTGTGGACTTCAATTCCCAAATTCTCCAAGTCTTAAAGTTGCCAAGTTTGGAGATCTCTGATCTAGGCCATTCTCTCCCATCGTTCCTCTGAAGGCCCTCTTATTCTTCCGACAGGCCCAAGAGGATCCGCAGCAAGTCGAAGAGCCACGGCTGGTTAGCAGCAGTGACCCAGAGAGGATATCTCCAGAATCAGAAAACGCCAGCAAAAGTAACAATTCAGATGATGCTGGAGAAAATTCAGCGCCTACAGTAGAATCCACAACTGAAGTGAAAAGGTAAACATGACACCGAAGGGAATTGTTGCAAACGAAACATAAAGGTTTTGACTTGTGAAAATGTCCAATCGTGGCTAACCTTTTTGGGGCTCCTGTGCCGAAAATTGTGCGCATGTATGCTTGCGTGCTGGCACTCGCGTGCCAAGTCCCAGAAGGCAATCCGCGCGGCATCCCCACGCCCCCTGCGCATGTGCACGCGATCCCCCCCACGCCACTGCCGCCCCCTTACTTGCACTGCACACCTCCCAGCTGATTTTTGGCCCGTTTGAGCCTTTTTCGGCCTCCCAGAGGTTCGAGGGAAGCCTCTGCGGCCTTTGGAGGCTGAAAAATGGGCCCATTTCGTCACTTCCGGTATTTCTGGAAATACAGGATGTGATGAAACGGGCCTGCTTTTCAGCCTCCAAAGGCTGCAGAAGCTCCCCTCGAGCCCATGGGAGGCTGAAAAAGGCCTCAAATGGGCCGAAAATCAGCTGGGAGCCACGTGCATGCGCAGTGCAGGTAATTTTGGCTGGGGCTCGCGTGACCGCACAAATGGCTCTGTATGCCCCCTGTGGCACTTGTGCCATAGGTTCACCATCACGGATATAGTCTGTAGCACCTGTTCAGAGACTAAAAATGTCTTTTTTTATTTTAGCAATCCTAAAGGTAAAGGAAAGAAAGCAAAAGAGGCCAAGAAAACATCTGCAAAAGTTTCTTCAGAGGACCAGGTAAAGGTATGTACAAGAGACAAACTGCGACAAAACAGGTTACTGTTTTTAGCATCGAGTCCTAACTGTATCTAAAGGCTGTTATCTTTCCCTTTTTGTGTGTATGTGTTTAATGAAAATGTCCTTCAGGTTGACTTCTCTCCCCCCACCCCACCACCCTGTGATTTCCTACATGCCATTCTTTGGACTATAACATGGGAGTCATCTAGCATTTAGACAATAAGAACAATTAATCAGTGAAACAACTTGACTCCGGAAGTTGTGAATGCTCCAACCCTGGACGTTTTTAAGAAGAGATTGGATAACCATTTGTCTGAAATGGTGTCAGGTTTGCTGCCTAAGCAGGGGCTTGGACTAGAACAGGGGTCTCCAACCTTGACAACTTTAAGCCTGGTGGACTTCAATTCCCAGAATTCCCCAGCCAGAAAATTCTGGGAGTTGGGAAATTCTGGGAGTTGAAGTCCTCCAGGCTTAAAGTTGCCAAGGTTGGAGACCCCTGGACTAGAAGACCTGTAAGGTCCTTTCCAATTCTGCTATTCTATTCTGTTCTGTCCTGTCCTGTCCTATCCTATCCTATCCTATCCTATCCTATCCTATTTTTATTTTTATTTGTCAAACATGTACAGGATAACAAGTGTAGGTATGAACATAAACATGAACAAATACAGCTAAATGGGAACAGTAGGACAGGAACGGTAGGCATGCTGGTGCACGCCCCCTTTAATGACCTCTTAAGAATGTGGTGAGGTCCACAGTAGACAGTTTGAGATTGAAGCTGTGAGGATTTGAGGCTGTAACCACGGAGTCAGGTACAGCATTCCAGGTGTTGACCACTCTGTTGCCGAAATTGTATTTTCTGCAACCGAGTTCGAAGCGGTTTACCTTGAATTTGTATCGATTGTTTGCCCGTGTATTACTGTAGTTGAAGCTGAAGAAATCATTGATAGGCAAGATGTTGTAGCAGACAATTTTGTGTAGCATGCTTAGATTGGACCTATTCCTATTTTATTCATTACCCAAAGACATTTCTCAAAAAATGCCAGTTTTACTCCATGTACCTTAAATGAAAATGACACTATATCAAAAAAACATACATTTGTGACTATGCCAGTTTTATCTTCTCTGACTTATATGCCGCTTCACAGTGCTTTACAGCCCTCTCTAAGCGGTTTACAGAGTCAGCATATTGCCCCCTAACAATCTGCGTCCTCATTTTACCCACCTCGGAAGGGTGGAAGGCTGAGTCAACCTTGAGCCTGGTGAGATTCGATCTGTCAAATTGCAGTCAGCTGACAGCCAGCAGAAGTAGCCTGCAATACTGCACTGACCACTGCACCTTTGTGTACATACAACAATAGTGATAAATCATTATCATACAGTTGAGAGCCAGATGTTAATAATCAATGGGTGGCTTCTTCCTTTTTCTGCCTGCTTGAAAGCTTGTAGAAATACGTTTTGAAGCCAGTGTAGGACTAACCAGGCCTTAGTCTACTCCAATCAAGTAATTCTTTTATTACATTTTTGCTGCCATCAAAGAAATGCTATGTTAATGGTAAATGTCTATATGGAGATTCTCCTCTATTATGCATTCATGCTAATAACGTTCTTCCTGCCTTTGTTTGTTCTGCTTTTTCCCTTTACAGCCTGAGGCCCCACTGCACTGTGTTACCTGCAGCTGTGAATTTCAGTCGCGGAACAAATTGTTTGAACATCTGAAAACCACGGGGCACGCCAAAGCCTTAGCCCCCTCCACTGCCAACACAGCCGTCAGCAGCAGAAGCAAGAAAGAAAAGCGGAGAAACAGATAGGGCTTCTGGAAAGCCTTGAGAACTGTGGAGTTATTGTCACATCCATAGGCACCTTGTTGGCTCAGAAAGGGACAGGCCTTTCCCGCGTGACTTAACCGGGGTGGAGACTTGCTAGGCCCAGCCATAAACAGAGCAGAAACACATTTAAACCTGTGCAGCATTGGGTACAGTATCTGTTTGTGTCTGTATTTTGTTTCATAAATTGGGCTAAAGCCTCCAGATTGTCCATAAAGAGAGCCTGCCTGCTCCTTAGATTTGTAAAAACCTACCTGTACAGGTAAAGGAAATAAATTATTTTACTGTACATTTCTGTTTGTTTTCACAAATTGCACTATGCACTTCATCTAGCCATGTCCTCTTTACATTAAATGCACCTTTTTTTGCTACCAACCTGCCTACATTCATTTTTAGCCCAAGCCTGGGTTGGCTGTCTCAAGGCAGTGGCTGTCAGCCAGAAGATTACAAGTGTCGTCCCTCCCTCTGTGAAAGAGGGCTTGCTCCATCCATGATAGAAACAAACATTTCTAGACAAAAGCATAACTTTAAAGCAGAGGTGTCAAACTTGATCTCAGCCGGTCTTTGAAAACTTTGCACACAAACCACCATGCAGAGTGGAAAGCAGGTTTCAAAGGTTTTTAATGTCAAACAACAAATTTTCCATCTGACAAGAACGGTATCCTAACAGGTCTAGGTTAGTACTGGAAGCTTCTGCCTTACAGTGCTGTTTAAAGGTATAAACTAACCCACGTAAACGCTTCTATCTCCTAATTATTCCTTTAATCAGCCTTTATTCCCATCATCGGGTTTATCTCATAAGTCCACTATTTCCTTCCCTATCCAGCTATTGTTCTCTCTCTCTGTTTGGCTTTGGCAGAATCATCTAATTAACGTCCAACAATCCATCAAACACAGATAGTTTCCCTTCAAGTTATGGACAACCGAAGATCCCATTTGCACGTCATAATTTTCCAACGCTGCAGCTGTCGCAATTACCAGGAAACTTCTATCGTTGGCAGGGTGCCACGGCTCCTGCAAATGTGCTGACGGGCTCAGATCATCTATCATCCCTAATGGAGCCCAACACTGGATTTATTGAGGGCTGCATCAAAGTTGTGCTTCACCTGGGGGGGTCGAGGTGGGTGTGGCCAGCTCGGCCACTTGTGTCGGGGGCGCCTGTGGTAGCCCGAGTACTCTGCCAGCAAAAATGGGCTCCTGAGCTCCATTTTTGGCTGCGATGGCAGCCCTCCAGAGCTCCGTTTTCACTGGCAGAGGCTCCGCGGGCCGGTCCTTCACTGTTTCCAGGGCAGCACTGTGGACCAGATCTAAGTACCCTGCGGGCCGGATTTGGTCCACGGGCCTCAAGTTTGACACCCGTGCTTCAGAGGTATTCTGTTATTGTATGTTTAAACTTCCAATATCTTCCCTATGCTGTGTATGAAATTTAAAAACCCCACCTGTGGTATACATTCAATCACTGACCCAAAGGTGCTTTTTCAGGAGGCAACTGGACTGTTTTTTCTTTGAAGACGTTTCACTTCTCATCCAAGAAGCCTCTTCAGCTCTGACTGGTGGGGAATGGAAGGATTTATATACTCCGTGCAGACAGCTGGTCATTTGCCTCCTTTTAGCTGGTCGTTTAGCTGTGTCATCAGGGTCACTTGAGTGGTGCAAATTCCCCACCATCCAGTCAGAGACGTAGAATCTTCTTGGATGACAAGCGAAATGTCTTCAAAGAAAAAAAAAAAAAAAACCAGAAAGTCCAGTTGCCTCTTGAAAAAAGCACCTTTGGGACAAGTATGACCTGGATGACTCAGAATCTCATTCAACCATTAATTGAAAACCACTGCTGTAAAATATATTTGGGAAATTGTAGCTCTCTTGTTCTTGCTGTATTCTGTTCTTCAACAAAAAAAGACTTGTGTAAATTATCTACTTGGGGAAACGCAGGAACTTCATCTTACTTTTATGTCCACAGACATCTCAACCTGGACAGCAAGATTTGCAAGTGTCAATTGATCCAAGAAGTAAAAATTAAGATTCCTTTCTCTTAATATTATGCTAAGTCTATTTGTTAAAGCACTTATCAGCGTGAACCTTCACTCTGTTCTAGCTGGTGCGATGCCCCTCAGAAATTTGTAGTAGGGTTTCTGAATGTTCAACATAACACAGTGTTTCATGTTCTATTTTTGCTTTATGAAATTGCATTCTGTCAAAACATGAAAGGATTTGGATATGTGCTTTCCCACCTGTAATTCAAAGCGAAACGGCAACAGAATTAGTGTGTGCCCTTCCGGCAGAGGATTGGAAAGAATTTATATTCTGCTGCTCAGCTGTGTTTCAAACCTATTTCTGGCCATTTCCCCCAGCAGAGGCTTATCCCCAGCACTCAAATATTTAAAAATCCCGATGTGGAGAGAGGAAGAAAAGATGACTCCCATGTACTTGGCTGGGCTTTTCTAAATAACCTACAAGCACTATGTCCAGCTGCTGCACAAGTTATAAAACAGCCAAATGGTGTTGCAGCCTGGGAAGCCTGCTTCTTTTTGCATGTAATCTTATCCGGATTAATCTCAAAAAAATGGACTATTATGAATCTGTAGGAAGTTAGCACCCACCCCTCTCCTAGAAAAATGAAATATACTCGGAAATATTAAAAAGGCAGAATATTTCCCCTGAAAAGAGTAGAAACTCAGAAGCAGAAACTCACCTTTGTTAATGGGTGGACCATTAAGGTGTGGGGCAGAGTATTTTACATAACAAAGATCTCCAGGTAGAACTATAGGAATTGCCCAAAGCCCTTTTCATTACATCATCATCCAGCAAGCTCAACCAAGCCTGGAACTCAGGTGAAGCCATGTGGTCCAGACAAAGCCTACAAAGTTAGCTAAGACCCCCGCCCCTGGGAATCTGACAGCCAATGGGATACATTTCTTGCACAGGAACAGGAAACACTACGGTGGGGCCCAACAGAGGGTATATAAGGGTCTCTCAGCATCTTGGTCCTTCTCTTTTCCTTCACCTTGAAGCATGTGACCATCCCTTCCTTCCTTGGAGCTCCAAGCCATGTGGTCCTGTCCACCATTAAACCATCCTTCCAAACAGCTTCCATGTTTCCAGTGTCTTTTTCCCCACTTGGAACTGAACCCAGAAGGATAATCCTTCCAATAAATCAATGCTTCAGGCAATGAGTGTTGGTTCATGGATTTATTCACAGTGAGTCCAGTGCATCTCAGGAATGTGTGTGTGTGTGTGTGTGTGGTGTGTTCTACATTTCGGCTGTTCTTTTCATATGTCTTATTAAGGCTTCCTGGAAGACGGCCACTGCAAAATCTGCATCTTCCTTAGTAATGCACATTGGAGGTTTAATTCTAAATGTCTTGGGGAAGAGAAAAAAAAAAAAAGGAAAATATTATACAGAGAAAAAACTTATTTATCAGTAGAGATGTTTTGGTCATAGATATAATCACAGAGCAACTTACTGTACAGTCGCCGCTTAAGGGGCAAAGGATGGGGATGGACCAAGTTAAAACAATTCCAGCCTACCACAAGCTAAATTTATTGGTCCATCGGTATGGTCCTGCTCTACAATTTATTTTGCAAGCTGTACAATTAAAAAAAAAAGAAAGCTACAACCAGCCCCTTCCCTTCTCATGCAATCATTTTATAGTGCTGGGCAACCAGCCCACATTTACAGTATCATGTGGTTGCAAGGCTAATTCACAATATTTTTTGCCAGAAATTGGTATTTCTGGTTTTCTGCAAAAAAAAAAAAAAAAAAAAAAGCTCATTGTGACAGTGACCAGCATGACATATGACAGTACTTCTGGGCTCAGTTATGATTGTAAGTTGAGAACTGCCTGCATTTTATCTCCCCATGTTACCATGCACAGGCTAATATACCTAAAACAAGCAGGTTTGGAAACAAATATCAGATGCAGTTTCATGCACAGATAGTTGTATGTGTTCCTTTTTTGACAGTAATGCATTGTTTCTATCAGGGCTGGCTAAACTTTTTCCTCTCTGGGCGAAACCTTTTTTATTATTTTGAGGTCTGGATTTAACAGATAAACAGATAACAGATAATCAGAATTGGAAGGGACCTTGTAGGTCATCTAGTCCAACCCCCTGCCCAAGTAGGAGATGGGAGTCCAATCTCTTCTTGAAGGTCTCAAGTGAGACCTTCCCACAACTCCCACAACTTCCAAGGGCAAACTGTTCCATGGATTGATTGTTCTCACTGTCAGGAAGTTTCTCCATATTTCCAGGTTGAATCTCTCCTTGTTCAGTTTCCATCCATTATTCCTTGTCTGTTCTACAGGTGCTTTAGAAAATAGCTTGACCCCTTCCTCTCTCTGGCAGCCCCTCAAATATTGGAAGACTGCTATCATGTCTCCCCTGGTCCTTCTCTTTACTAGACTAGTCAAGCCCAGTTCCTGCAGCCGTTCTTCATATGTTTTAGCCTCCAGTCCCCTAATCATCCTGGTTGCTCTTCTCTGTACTTTTTCTAGAGTCTCAATATCTTTTTCATAATGTGATGACCAAAACTGGATGCAGTACTCCAGGTGTGGTCTTACTAAAGTGGTATTAGTACCTCGATTGTATCCCTCTGTTAATCCAATTTAGGGTTGCATTGGCTTTATTGGCTGCTGCTGGCTCTATTCAGCTGATCGTCCACTAAGACTCCAAGATCCCTCTCACAGTTACTGCTAACTGAGCCTGGTTTCACCCAGTCTATATGTGTACTTTTGGTTTTTCTTACCTAAGTGTAGGACTTTACTTTTCTCTGCATTGAATTTCATTTTGTTTGATACGGCCCAGTGTTCTAGTCTGTCAAGATCCATCTGGATCTTGAGCCTATCTTCTTGGGTGTTAGCTATTCCTGCCAGCTTAGTATCATCTGCAAATTTGGTAAGTTCCCCTTCTATTCCCTCATCTATGTCATTAAGATGAGGATGGTGAAAAGCAATTTTAACCTCACCTCGGCTCCAATGACCTCACCATGAGAATGACGATGTCACTGGAGCTGGGGTGAGATTGAAATCGCTCTCTACCATCCTAAATGTTACTTGGTGTCATCCATCGACCTGGCAAAGTTCAGCCTTTTGAAATACCTACAGAGGAATACTTGTTGCCTTACAAGGTAGTCCTTGACTTACAACAATCAAGCCCAAAATTTTCACGGCTAAGCAAGGCAGTTGTTAAGTGAATTCTGGGCCCCATTTTACGAACTTTCTTGCCACCGTTGTTAAGGGAATCACTGCATGTGTTAATTGTTCAGTGAATCTAGCTTCTCCATTGACTTTG